AAGCTGACATGATCGCGTATGGTTAGCAGCGGACAGCGCCAACCGGTTATCTCGTTCTTACCCAGACCTCGATCTCGACCTTGACCTCAACGAGAAGGAGCGTCTCAGCCAACTGTTTGCGTTTCCCTCTGAGAGCCTGCAACATCATCGTGCCTCGGCAACAGAAGCAAGCTCGGTAGAGAGATCAAGCGTTGTTCCCGCTCCGTCATCTGTTGTGGGAGGAACGAGAGACAGCGCGACTTGGGCTGTCGCCTCTGATACACATACACCCCCCGGCGCGCCACCACCCAAGTCCGATTCTCTGAGCACGCCCATCTCAACGCTCGGATTGGGTAGCGTTGTAGCTACACCTCAGGATGCCTCCGGTGCTCTTGAACAATCGCTCAACGATGCAGACCTGAACAGGATAGCGGCGGCGGTCAGCAAGATGCTCAGTTCAGATCCAGAGGCGGCGAGGACATATTTGGTTACGATTCGTGGAGAGGAGAGGGCTGCGCAAGACGGTGCGGACGTTGAGTGTCGGGAGGCGGCGAGGGTGCCTCCGCTACCGTATGGACTGTAGTGATAGGGAAGTCGGTGTATTTATGTACTCTAGTTCTATGTGGTGTATACATGATTGTTTCGGCTAGCTAGCTGGTCCAAGATACGGAATCCTCCTATCTTCTTGAACCAAACCCACGGCAGCACCGCTATCGACGAGCAATGGCGCTAAGTCCAAAATGCTTTGTCGACAGGCAAGTAAGCAGGAGGGGAGTAGTCCCGTTGAGAAGTTGACATGGGCGCCGTCGATCATGTAAACGTTCGTTCCTCAGCCACATCTTCCTTCTTGTTCCCATCCATCTCATCTGCCGTCTCGTCTCGCTACCGTCAACTGAGTAGCTAACCACCGTTCTACTTCTGCAGCTTGGCAACGGAGAAACCTAGGAAGATGAACTTCACACGCGCAATCCCCATGTAGCTTGCGCTACTCTCGTTCACTCGCCAACCACCAGTTGCTACACGCACTGCCTGCACCGGTGGTTCTTCGAACGTTGGCCTTCTATCGAGCCAAGTTGCCCCACATGCGTTGGAGCACAATCATAGGAAGGCGCTGATCGAGCACCTCACAGCTGTTTCTCTACATGAACTTGAAGCTCCCGGTACACCACTACGTGAGTACGTCGCGACTCGGCTGGTTCGCAAGTCCATCACAGACTTCCGTGATTTCCGTTTCTCACCGGCGATGTGTCAACCTCCAGATGAACTCTGTTTGAGCAAAGTACTTGATCAAGATCATGATGTGGAGGTCAAGCCGTCTCTACCAAGAACAGCCCCCACCTCTCGCGCTCAGGCTCTGTCTCCTCTACACTTTGCCGCTCCTTTGACGAAAGGCTGGCAGGTCCGTCTTTGACGTTGGTAAGTGGTCTTGTCGATTCTTGAGACGGCACTTGAGATGAACACAACTCGCAGGATCTTACAGTGCCCCAAGCAGCAAGCGAAATATCCAGAACGACAGTCCTTACATTTTATTTTCGACCCTCAACTCTGATCTTTTCCGAGCAAACTCTATCATCAGTCGAAGCGCACGACCCCAGGAGCACAAGAGCAGTTGCTGATGTCTATACACCTCCTTGGTCTCGACCAGGAGGTTAAGAGTCCATGGACACAGGCCGACCTCTCCGCCAGCATTTCTGGAACTCGTCTTGCGGGAGTGATGTTCAACGGTAACGATGGCTTGAGCAAGCTTGGTGCATCATGGGCCAACTTCGAGGACTCCCCAACAGTAAACCCCATCGAGGGACCACCTCAGGCCATCGACATCATCACCAACACCGGTACCATTGGAAACACCTTGCTTATCCCTCGAGCACCCCAAGATTCACCCGACACCCCCGACACTCCAGACAACCCGGACACCCCCGACGTCCCAGGATCTTCAGAAATCCCCGAAACACCAGAAGACTCGGAGCCTACCACCAGACCTCCACCGCCCCCACCAGCTACGACAACCCCCAACAATCCAGATTCGCCTCCTCCTACTACCAGACGTCCATATCCGCCTGCGAACACGCCAAGTCCAGACCCTCCTCCGAGCAACCCTGGACGTCCTGATCCTCCTGATACGACCGAACGTTCAGATCTTCCTCCCGATACCACCGAGCGTCAGAACCCTCCTCCCATCGACACCGACACCGATCCCCCTTCGCCCTCCACCACCGTCAATCCGGTATCTAGCAACCCCCCCTCCCTCGACACGTCCATTGCCTCTATCCTCCCATCTTCAAGCAGCGACTACCGTCTCCAAGGCTGGGGCGACGTCAACGGTACACCCGGGTCACCGTCGCCCAGTACCAGCACACCAGACGGCGAAAGCTCCGGCGAACCTCCTACTGGCAATGATAGGGTCAACACGGGTGCCATCATTGGTGCGGTAGTCGCGGGTGTGATAGTCTGTGTGGTTGTGGCAGGGTGTTTACTTTGGAGGAGAAGAAGGCGCAGGAGGTCGGAAGTCCCGCATCTGGTGGCGTTTAGCTCGTCGGGTGGGGTGACGGGTGAGATGCGAGATGATGTTGATGTTGAGCGCGCAGCGGACCCGGTGGATGTACAAGGTAAGAAAGAAGCTCAACTCGTGTATTGAGGATGAAGCTGACTCCATCGCGTAGCCAATCGCACATCTCAAACCTACTCCGACGACCTCGATCTTGATCTCAACGAGAAGGAGCGGCTCAGCCAACTGTTCGCGTTCCCGTCGCATGGCCCAGGTCATCATCGTGCCTCTGCATCAGCAGCCAGTTCGGCAGATAGATCAAGCCTCGTCAACGCTCCTTCGTCCATCCCGAGAGACAGCCTCACGACCTGCGACAGAATCGTCTCTGACACCCGTCAGGTCACTGCACCATCACCACCCACGTCCAGTTCTTTGAGCTCGCCGACCTCAACCCTGGAATTGGCCAGCGATGTAGTAGCTACACCTCAGGATTTTTCCGCCCTAGTGCTTCCACATTTGCTCAATGATGCAGAGCTGAACAGGATAGCGGCGGCGGTTAGCAAGATGCTCAGCCCGGATCCTGAGTCGGCGAGGACTTATGTGGTTACGATACACGGGGAGGAGAGAGCTGCGCAGGATGGCGTTGGCGTTGGCGCTGCATGTAGGGTTGAGGCGGAGAGGGTGCCTCCGCCGCCTTATGGACTGTAGTGAGAGAAGTTGATGTATTTATGTAGTTCTATGTGGTATTCACACGGTTTTGTGTAGCTAAATGATTGAAGATACTTGAGTAAATGAACTTTGTAAGAATTCCTCGCGAGTGAACAGCTGCTAGAGCAGTACGTCGCCGACCTCGCTTACACATCCATGTTGATGTCGCTAGCGAAGACCAGGAAACGGAATAGGCGGAGTACCCATGGGGAGTCTTGCTGGATTTGCGAGAAAAGGATGCGATATAGAGTGTCTGGGTTGGATCGATCCGGATGATGCGGCGAGGGTAGTGTGAACACTGGCGAGGTTTTGACATCTGGATATGGTGTCGAGCAGAGGTTTAGCCTTGAGAAAACTGGGAATGAACGTGTCAGAACGTTGGATGCAGATGCAACAGTGGGAACGAGCTTACATTCCGTCGGCCTCAAGATCTTCACTTCCTCCGCCAAATCGTCTCGAACGTTGGACAAAGACCCTGTGTTGACCGTGATCTCTACGAATTTGAGAACGTCTTCAGATGAGGCTTGGATGAGAAGTCGAGCCAGCGAAGATCCAGAAAACGGGACTTCGTTCCGTGAAATGACTAGCATTCTGGCTCCGAGCGATTCCAGCTCCTTGACCAGCACCTTTTGCGCAGACGTACCCCCAACACGGTATCGTCCAGCGCATCCACGACAATAAACACACGGTCGACGCGAGCTACCTCCTGCTTGAGGGTGACTCTCACCCGCTCCGCCAACTCGTTGGATGATAACCGCCGCTCTGGCCTTGATTGTCGAACGACCTGGTTTAAAAGTGACCCAAAAATTGTCGGGGGTAAGCGAGGTACTTGAGGTGGCTTCGTTGAATACGATTGAGACGACAGATGAAGGGAAGGATGCTTTGAGGTCTTCTATGACTATCGCGCTGGAGAATCATCAATACACGCCGCCGTGGATGGACTGAGGAACACGTACCTCATCACCGTTTTTCCAGCACCAGCTTGACCTGTACATGCCAAGTTGAGGAACTCCCCTGCTTTTCATCTCATGAAGACGGTGGAGTGTAGAAACCATAATCCGGTGTCAGATGCACGCCGACCTAATGCTCGCTTGTATGAGATCTCGTTACCTCCACGCTTTGACCTAAGATATCTAGTGTAAACTCGGAAAGAGTCGTCCTTGAGTGCTCCCATTTCTGCTTAAGATGTTAGAGACGCGGTGCACAGTCGGTGTCCCGAGCCAAAGCTCACCGTCAAAGCTGACATTGTGGATTGTGGTGGTGAACATATTATGGGACGCTACTCCGTGGGCGCTAGTATCTACTGGTGCATGGTTAGCCAAGCGCAAAGTATACCGCTGTCGCTGCACTCACCAGGGTGTACATCGTTGACCTGAACATCCATGGATCCCCAAACACCGTGGCACACGCAACCTCGTCAGCCAGCCTGATCTACAATCTCACTGAGAAAAGGGAGGTGAATCCGAGCAGCGCGAGTACAGTTGAGAAGAGAGGTAGGTGCTTCTGAGGCGCTGACGCTATTCCGGTCAATCAGGCAGACTTGCACAGTCCTGATTTCATCCACCTTCTCCTGATGTACTGCAGCAATTCACGCGTGTTGTAGAGTGACCCAGGGACGAAATAGAGGTCCATTGCGGGAGAGATGACCAGGGAGCTTTTGTGTTGATAGTGGACATATACATGTAGCAAGTCCTTGCTGAGCGCAGCCGGCAACGTCAGAGAGAGATGCAAGGTGGAGACGATGAACCATGTCCGTCGAGATGGTTTAGAGACGGTGGCTTTGACGTTGTGGGATCGATATAGTACAACAAATGAGCACCTTCACGGTCTAATGGTGTAGTGGTTATCACGCCTGTCTTACAATTCCATGTTGCGAGCACAGTAGGTCGCAGGTTCGAGCCCTGCTTAGATCATTTTGATTGTAATCAAGTCGATTTTTGGTCTCCCTCCAGAATCCAGAAGCAGCTTTTTACTATATAGCAAGCCACGCTGTGCTAACTGCCGCAGCGCCAAGGTGTATATCTGTGCAGCCTTGAAGAGATGCGACGAGTTAGCCATGATGAGCGACGTCTGGCAAACTTTTTGGTCGAGCATATCACGCGAACGCGATACTCCAACTTACACTTGTCACTTGCTTGCTTTCATGGCGCCGAAATCCAGATCTTTCGCCTTTCACAGACAGTATTTAAACATCGCCCAACGCCGTGAGAACACTGTGTTGAGCTCGACCCTTTCCTCAACTTCTGGCGTTCGTCCGGCACATCGGTGTCATCCGAAATTACTTCCTGCTCCGTCGGGTGAGCCCACAGTTCCGCCCTGACTGGACTCAAGTTAAGCTCTCAGCTGGTTTCAGCCCCCCCTCTTCGTGCTTTCAAGTGGCTTAGAACGTCTATCTACCTTGTCATGACGTTAAGGTCTGAGACTTGTTTCGAGTTGCTCCGACGACCGCAGTGCGATGCCCTGAGCTGAGCGCGGAAGACTGGCGGTGTGCTTGAGTCCTGTCTGTTACACTCATCTCCGACCACACGTCGACATCCTCCTCTACGAAGTACGACCGGTCAGCCTCGCTCTTCGCTCTACCCGCGCTGGCGCTGACAGTGCGTTCTACAGAACGAAATGCTTCCCCTCGACGTGTACAAAGACAGAGCTATCCTCGCCATGCTTGTGGCCAGTCGAAAGATTCAAAGACTCACAGCACCAGGAGACGAATCGTTCTGCAGGCTCATCTCATCTAAGAGGTATGCTACATACCATCTTCCCCCACACGCCTATCTCCTCGTCGAACCGACTCTCACACACGAATGTAGAGACGTGGACGAACTTTCCGAAGATGACATCGAGGCAGTCGTAGCCGAATTCGAGGAGTTACGCCGGGGTGCCGAGGCGCACAAGAAAGGCGAGCGCTGAGAATCATTCCTTCACGCTCGCCGTCGTCACGCTAACACGTCCATTCAGTCATCGAATCCCTCCCGAATCTACACTACGAGCTCGTCGCCGCCTACAAAGAAACCCTCAGTCGCAACGACCCCGTCCGTCTCCCCAAGGCAGACATCAGCGAATTCCAGAACGCCGAGTTTGCGATGCTCGTCTCTTTCACGAATTACATGCGTGGTTACGGCAAGAAGAAGCTAGGCATGAGGAACGATGATTTGACGTATAAGTGGGCGTGGACGAACGAGGATCTGATTCTCGAGCTTGCTCCCAAATTTCTGACGGAATATGTGCGTATTTCTACCATGGTTATTTGAGGTGGAGGAGACGTGCTGATTGAGGAGTAGATCTACGGGCTTGGTCAAGTCGAGTCGTTCACGGCATGGGGACTGGAAACGTGTATCAACTAGTACGTCCGCTCATCGCCGTCTCTGTGCTACCACTTATTCGCCGAAAAGTCATTTTGAGTATCCAGCCACCCTCCTGTATGGCAAAGAACTCTCCAAGATCCTCAGCGCCGTCGACCAACAAAGTACGTCTCACACGCTCGCAACTCTTGACTTCGTCGCATTGACCGATCTGTATTGATAGTTTCCAAGAAAGTAGAAGTGCTGGAACGAGTAGGACTGACCTGGTCATGGTCACTGTTTGACTTCGCCCGAGCTAGTGGTCGAGCCTGAATATTCCTGAAACTCCCCTTCCGCAATCGTTGTACCAACCCATTCCATCTCTCTCTCTCCGGCCCTTTAGAACTCTTGTAGCGGCGGCTCGTTGCAAGGGGGGCACGTATTGACGTACATTGACGACTGTTCTCTCTCCTTCTCATTTGTATTATCAATCCATTCTTTGAACCTCGTTTGCTGCTCCTGTGTGTTTCAAGAACCACCCATCGCGTCAATGTATCCATCCACCTTGCGCGGGTTCTCCTTCTACACCAGCGCGCAAGGTCGGTGGACGTACGTTTGGTGCGTCTAGGTATTAGGCCGAGCACTGCATACGATACGTACTTCTTGCTGTGACGAGCTCCGCTTACGCCTGTGCACCGCCGATGTCTTTCTTCCGATTCCATTCTCACTGTCTTCATCGCCGAGCTCAGCCTCCGTGATATTCCCACGGTCGAGTACCTCTTCACCATATCACAACCTTGTTTCCTAGTTCTATATAGACCACCACCATGTACAGTATTCAAAGCACGCAATCCCACCCACTAATGCAATCTTAGCCCTTCTTCGTGCCATCTCCGTACCTCGCGCCAGCCAGACTACCACCGCCGCTTTATATCTCTCTTTTTGTTATTATTATATCTTCCTCGCCCACAGCCGTCGCCGCGCGAACATCCCTCGCTTTACACAGACCCAGGAACGCGTTCACACTCGCTTCCGCTCGTCAGCTGCCGAGGAGTGACTACCTCTGGGTCGCGTTCGAGAGAAGAACTTCGTAAACCAGGACTCATACTACGTAGTGGTAGTTAGTAGCCGTTTACCTTCGTGGAAACTCGAGATTCACGTCCTCCTTCTGAACCAATCTAGACAGATCGTGGAGTAGACGCAGGACCGTAGCAGTGGGGCGCGCGAGGTCCTTGTAGAGGTATTTACAATGAAGGCCGGAGGGATAGCGACGCCGCTGAGAGTGGAATCAGGGAGTGACGAGTGCATTGTGAGGCTTTAAGTGCCTCGGACTTCGTACTGGGCTTGGACCACTCTTAGCTTGGCTCTTGGACCATTCTCTCGTTCTCTTGGTCTGCCGAATATAGCTCAAAACCTTGGTTCTCTCAACTTAAGTAGTTCTCGAGGTCTAAATTTAACTTGAATGCTCGACGTAAACCAAGTACCAGATCGCAAACATCACACAGCGTTCATTGAACCAAATGACAGCCCCCAGGAATATAATTATGGATCCGAATAACGGTGTACAAGTAGGTAAGGAAACGAACAACAAGTGACCACTCTCTAGTTGGTGAAGAGGATACGGTACAGGCGGACGTGGAAAGGAGCCGCAGCCTTCTCCGCGCGGTATTGCCTCATGTCCTCGACAGTCAACCAAGACTTACGGCCGGTCTGAAAGAGAGTAAATTATCAGCGTCGGTAACATGATGAGTAGTGAGGGTGAAGCTTACATCGAGGTCCATCTCGGTAGCAGCAACGGGCCTGCCCTTCTTCCACACGTAACCCACGACGTAGAACAAAATCATGACGGGCGCCGCAAGATAAGCCATGAAGAAGCCCTCAGCGACGAGCATGGGGTCGTCAGCCATGCCACCAATGGGCCAGATGGCAACGTAGAACTGAGCAATGAGGACGACGATGATGAGGCCGAGTCCGAGCCATGATCCGGCAACGCCACCGAGAGCCTTGAAGGGAAGCTCCTCAACGGAGTGACCCTGGGCCTTCCAGCCAGCGCGGAATCGGATGTGGCAGAGACAAATGGAACCCCAGGTGACGAGGGTTGAGAGACCGGAGATGGCGACGAGCCAGTTGACTAAGGGGACGTTGAGCGAAAGCGATCGTGAAGCGGGGAGGTTGCTACTTACAGACGGTTCCACCAGCGGCAGCGGTATCGATGTAGGCAAGGGGAGCCCACGCAAGGATGAAGACAGTCGACCAGAGGGGACGGGAAGACTTGTCAACGTAGGTGAAGACCTTGGGGGCGAAGCCGGTCTCGGCGAGAGCAGTGAGAGTACGGGATCCGGCATAGACACAGGCGAGACCGATGGAGAGCACGGAAATGCAGATGGTGGCATTCACAAGATCTAAGGACAACAGATTAGCAACCAGATTTGAAACGATGGCACAAAAGCAACTAACGGTTGATTCCAGGGATCCTGGCCCTGTCGAGGGCAATGACGAAGGGAGAGGTGTTGGCACCGGAGCCGGTGAACAAACGTGGCTCATCGTAAGGAAGGAGCAGACCGATGATGGTCAAGGAGGTGATGTAAATGATGGTCTGGAAGAATGCGTTAGCGATGATCCCACTGTAAGCCATCAACGGTACTCACGATACGCCAGAAAGTTCCCTTGATGGCGGTGGGGACGGAGGCACGGGGGTTGGCAGTCTCGGAGGCGGCGAGACCAACGAGCTCGGTTCCGGCAAAGGAGAAGGCGGCAGTGACAAACACAGAGCAAACACCCTGGAAGCCATTGGCGAAAGCACCGGGGTTGCTCCACTTCTCTCCACCAGTGTAGCTGCTGTAGTCACCGTCGGCGGGTCCACCACCACAGATGAGGACGATACCGATCATGATGAACAGGATGACCACGAAGAGCTTCAGGCAGGAACTCCAGAACTCCTCCTCAGCGAAACCGAGGGTACCGAACAGAGAGACGATGACTGGACATGGGGTGTGAGATAAGGCACAAGATTTACAGATGAGACGGATGACTCACGGATAACCATCCAGAAGACTGTCATCCACACGGCTAACGGTACGTCTGTCGTCCAATACTGAATTGTCTGTGCCGCCACACTGATTTCCAGCGGCAGTACAACAGACCACTGGAGCAGGTAGTTCCATCTGTCCCAACGTCAGAACATGAGCGACATTGACAAATGCATAGAAAGACTCACCCCATAGCAAAACCGAAACTGGGGTCGAGGAATCGAACAGCCAGAGTGTAGTAACCACCAGAAACCGGGTAGAGGATAGCCATTTCACCAACGGCCTGAGTGACCGAAATCATCATGACACCGATGATACTCCAAGCGATGAGGATACCAGCGGGGCCACCACGAGCCAAAGCGTTACCGGAACCGACGAAGAGACCAAGACCGATGGAACCACCGACAGCAATCATCGTCAAGTGGCGAGGCTTCATCTTCTGCTGAAGCATGGGGCCCTCGTGGGCACCACCTCCGACACCGTGACTGACAATACCACTAAAGAAGGCAAAATGAATCAGTCAAAGTGCGGGAGACGAGTATTGCGAAAGTCTACGTACCCGGTGCTACCCGGAGCCCTCTTGAAACTCTCCATGGTCAGACCAGC